ATTACTTCTTATTCTAGCCTCTGGGAGGTACAGTTCGGTTACACAATGGTGTCGATTCTGACATGATTCTCTAAACCTAAATTTAAATTTGACAACAGTGGTGTCGATTCTAGCATGATTCTCTAAACCTAAACTTAAATTTGACAGCAGTATATCTTTGTCATTCTCTAAACAGAATGAAAAGGAGAGACTGATGTTAAATTTAGTTTTAAGTTTAGAGAATCACGCCAGAATTGGCACCACTGTATCCTTGTCATTCTCTTTACAGAATGAAAAGGAGGTACTGATGTTAAATTTAGTTTTAAGTTTAGAGTATCATGCCAGAATCGACACCACTCTCTATTATATAAAAAAAAGTAGCCAATTAGCCATAATTTTCTAAGCAGACCAAATATACTTGCATTAAAAAAATATGCTTGAAAATACAATATAAACGGAATAAATTTAACCTATGTGTTGTTTTGGACTTTCATTGTTATTAACATTATAGCTTGCATGGTAGCAATCCCCATGATAAGAAATTTAACCTATTACAAAAGTTTGACAGAAATGAAATACAAAAGGCTCTTAGTCCTTTCAGAAACATAAAAAAAACGCAAAAAGAGTTTATTTAACTTAAAAAAGATTGATACTGTATGAAAGGGTAAATTACCAAATTAATTAAAATAATATACATATATAAATATATATTTATTCATTTCATATACATTTATTATAACTAATCGACGAAATATTTTACATTAAACTTTTTACAATAGTCAATTTCAGATGTGCATAAATATATCATTAAGAATGTTGATAAATTATGTAATTATTATTATCAGACTATTATCATTTTTTTAAATATTAATTAAATCAACATTTTCTGCATTATTAATTACAGTGACAAGTGGTTTATGGTAACTAAAATAAGACACATGGACGTTCGTAGATACGTGGTTTACGAATCTTGAAAATACCGCATCAATGGTTGTACCATACCTCGTTGTCCCCATTGCTCTATCAGAAACAATATCTAAATTCACTTCAGATTTAAAAAAAATTATTAAAGTCAATCCGTCGTCTTTGTTCGTCAAAGTTGCGCGACATAGGATGCGCACCAAAAACGTAACGAGGTCATCCATCGATAGATTTTACTCCTCACATTTTTCTCATAGCGGGCCCCTTATATATGCAAATCGATTCTTAAGGAGTAAACTCCAAAAAAATACAAGAGTAGAGTGGATCCTGACTCTTTTCCTAATAGGGAAGATGTAATATTTTTATTTTTGTTTCCATTTTAAAGAATTCCATCTAGAATAAACCACAGATATATTAAAAAATTAAAACATTGTGATTTATCGGAAAAAATGCGGTTTTAAATTGACAATTTAAATTTTCGCGCGAAAACGAACCTATGGTTGCGATGACGTCACTCCTGTCTGTCACTGGTCGTAATTTTTCTTTGCTGGCTTTAAATTTTCATACTTTTGCATATTTTTTCGAACTTCGAAATATTTTTTTGAAAAATTTAAAATGGACTATCCATGAACATCATGTGATCATAACAATACCACTAATATTCCGAAAAAAATCCGTGTGGACTCGTGTTTTGTGCCAATCTACTTCAACAAAGTTCCCAAATAAATTGTTTTTAACTGGAACTTCTGACCCAAAACTGAAAAAAAGTGGTTTCAAGCTGCGAAGAGAAATGACAATTATTCTCCAAAGACCATTATTCGATGCTGAGAAGATCACTTTGACGTAAGTCGGCGAATATACTTGTTATATGCTTAATTAATCTGCTTGTACGTAAAAACGCATTAGTAACCTACCTAATACTTACAAAACCTGTCTATAACATATTTTTAATTTTACAGTCGGAGAATGACGTGAAAAATTAGATAAAGTTTAAAATGTGTGGCACAATCTTCACATGGGCAGGACTGAACCAAGCTTTGCGTTTCATTTAAAATAACTGTAACACGATAACCTTCTTTACGTACTTTATGCTCCGGAGAACGCGACCTTTTACTGTACATAATTCTCCATCTCTTTTAATTTGGACATAGCGATTGCATTATCGCCGTGAGATTTGTAGAAGCCGCTGAATAAAATACGAAGTATAACAACTACGATTTTTACATACCGTTGTAATTTAGTCCCTTTCATTTCTACACTTAAAAACTCTGCACTTTGGACAAAAAAAGTTATAACCATGTCAACGCTAACTCTTGGTAAATTCCTGGAGTCTACTTTGATAAACGCAACTTCCATTTTTATTAAATGTAAAAAAACGCAATAAATATTCCCTTAATAATATTTACTTTAACAACCTTAACCTCAAAGAAGTTGTCATAACAGGAGGGACGTCACTAATCGCTGATTGGTGTTTTAAAATACGTTCCGTTGCAAGTATTTTTAATTCGTAATAATTGTTAAAAAACAACATTATGTAAAAAAAAACGTTTCAGTGGCATTTCTTTTATATTTTTTTAACATTTTAATCATAAATTTTTCATAAATATTATATATGCATCTTCCCTATTGCATGTTGGCAAATTCAGTCCCTGGCAGTGACGACGTAGAACTAATACAATGTCCTAAGTCCTCACAACCCCGGTTTTTAAAGGTAACCGAGGCTTAAATATACACATTGGCAGGTTTCATAAACCTCCTGCCTCTGTTCCCGCATTTTTCCATCTCAAATTCTGGCAACCAACCACTTTGGCAAACTCTGGGTAATCTCAAAAATACACCTCCCGTTTTAAATTCCCCCGCTCTGCACGGCTCTCAGTCGCCGTTTCTTTATCACAATGTATCAAACATGTGCTTAAACACGTCTGAGAGCTGGGCAGAACTCCCTAGATCGGGGAATAAATCGTAACCTATTGAATCAATTTAAAACACGATGGATCGTATTACCTTGAATCGATTTTCCAAAAGATCGATTCAGATCAGGCATCCCTAGTCAACTAGCAATCTGTGATGGCCATAATGCCGGCACTTCACTTGGTTATTCATGTTTATTAATTGTAAACATGACAACAGTCTTTCCTTTCATTCTCTAAATAAAGAGTGTGTTATGGACAACCTCGGAAACAGCCAAAGAATAAAAAAGGATAATCTGCTGTGAAAATGACAGCAGATAGAAATAGAACTGGTGCCAACTTAGGGGTTTGATCCTAGATTTAGAGTAAAATCAAACTACCAGGGTAAATTTTAGGATATTCAAATGTAAGGGTAATATTTGGAGAAAAAAATAAAAAACTTCAATTAATGGTGAAAAATATCGAGAAGTCTCTTCGCTTAATATTTTCAACCCACTCATATTTTTTGTTTCTCATTGATATACTTTGTAACTTAATACGATCTAAACAAAAATTATAAGAATTTACTATACTGATAATGTGCACTAGCAATAATAGTCTAATAAGCTGGAAACTCGTGTACAGCTTCTTTTAGGCGTTCTAAAAGTTGTCTCAAAAGTCTCTTATTATCTCTTGTCTGCATTGTAAGTTATTCGAGGTCAAAGATCACGAGAACATCACTTCAACACTTATTATGAACATTAAAGATAAAAAAAAATGCCTCAACTCTCTTTCTATACGCTCAACTCTTTTCAAGACAAAGGGCGGAGAGCACACAGGGCTCAGGCATATATACTGTAATACAAATGTAAAAAAACCTTGCCACTCTTTAACACACAACCCAAAAATGTGATTTCTAGAGCGATTTAATACAGGTCTGTGTATGTATTATACACATGGAAATTATTTTGACATAATGCGATTCAACTAAGAATAGGATCGACGGGGCGCCATATTGTGACGTCATAGCTGTCAATTCAGACGAAAAAGGTAGAGTGAGCAAAAAAGTTTTTATTAAATAAAAGTTATTTACTAAGATTAAGTGAGAAAAAATATCCGATTTTTTAATAAAATTTATTTACTAAAATTGAGAAAAGAAAATAAGCGATTTTTAATAATATTTATTTATTAAGACTGTGCGAGAAAAAAACATTAATCAGAATTAAGCTCTTCAATTCCGCTCATCTCGGCATTACCGCCGGAGTAGTTATGAATAATCATGCACTATTACTAGGTCACATACGAACATGCATTCTATATGTAAACCAAAGTTTTAAATCGAGTTTCTGAACGCAACTTAAAGTGACATTTGGTTGACGATTTAGGTTATCAAACATTCATAGCCAAAGCTCAATAAATAAAAATAATATATCAACCAATATAAATAGTGCATTTGTGTGCACTATTTGCCATTTGCAATTTCGGCGATAGGAAAAAATGTTAAGTATTTTTCAAAATTCTTACGAAATTTAGGGTAAACTAAGGCCGCGTAAAAGGTAAAATAAATTTAAATCTGGCAACACTGACTTATCGCAAAGTGCTGGCATAAAAATTTAAATGACAGTAGGTATTTATCAAAGAGTCTTTTAGAAATAACATAAAATAGATATAATGCGATTCAAATAAGAATAGGAAAGCCAATGACCTCTATATGTCAAATGTCGCTTAGCACTCAACTAATTCTAGAATAAAAACCAAACATTTGTAAACAAACAATAACAAATATTGACAATTAATATTGTTTGATATTTTTTTTCCATTTATTCAGCTTTGACTATGACTGGTTGATAACCTAAATCGTCAACAAAATGTCACTTTGAGTTGAGTTCATAAAATCGATTTAAAACTTTCGTTTACATGTTCGTATGTGATCGATTATTAGTGCATGATTATTTATAACTACTCCGGCGGTAATGCAGAGATGAGCGGAATAGAAGAGCTAGATTCTGATTAATGTTTTCTCTCACAGTCTTAATAAATAAATATTATTAAAAATCGGTGGGTTTTTTTTTCTCAATCTTAGTAAATAAATGTTATTAAAAAAATCTGATGCTTTTTCTCACTCAATCTTAGTAAATAAGTTTTAAAAACTTTTTTTTGCTTACTCTACCTATTTGGTTTGAATTGACAGCTTTGACATCACAATATGGCGCCCAGTCGGTCCTATTGTTAGTTGAATCGCATAATAGTCTGTGAATGTCATTACAAAGTGATTACAAATTAACCAAAGCCGTTAAATTTCTAAATAAAAAAAAAATACAAAATAAAATACCATTTTAGTTTGGGAAAGTGAAACCGTGATGAAATCGTAAAAAAAGCAGAATACGTATCGATTTTTAGAAGCGAGATTGCTTTCTGATGTGTTTTGTCAAACCAAAGATTTGATGACAAACTATTTATCAGCTCACGCTTAACTAGGATCAGCGTAAGTACAATCCAAAACAACAACGCAATAAGAAAATAAGTTTATTATATCTATTAATGGATTGGGCGATCCTGTTTTATGTGTTTTTATTTTTGCATAAAAGTTGTAACCTAGAGAATAGGTACCGGTACCGTATAGGTATTTTTTAAGCACATGTTTAAATTTGTAACTCTATTAGTTCCATCCTGTTGATTTCTTTTCAGGTGAGTTTCTTAAATTTTAGATTTCGGTGAAGATGGAACTGCTAGATGTTATGAAAAATTTGACAATACAGAGTGACGATGAATGTGCGTTATTATTTAAATCTGTATCCGCCGATATTGATTCTACGGCCACTGAAATTGTTCTTGCCGAGTACAGAAATAAAACCCTACTCATTCTATCACAATATGAAAAAGTCGGAAGTTTGTTTTTGATTCAAAAAGACCAAATTCACAGTGCTCTAGGTACCAATAATATTTATACAACAAAAGTTATTTTTGGTGCTACAGGAGAGAGTCAACAAGTTGCAGGGAGATACCTGGCAGAAGCATTAAACATTATTCAACCACTTTGCCTTTTTATGAGTCTCAAATCATATGATATTGAAACTGTAAAAGCTTGTAAAGATATAATACTAGATATTAAAAGTGAACAAAACCAAGATGTCACAGGGAATAGCAAAGAGATTCAAAACAGACCATAAATGTTATGGACAGTTGGTTCTTGGTCCCCCAGGTGCTGGTAAAACAACATACTGCCACAAAATGTCGATATTATTGCAGAAACTTGGAAGGAATGTTGTGGTGATTAACCTTGATCCTGCTAATGATTTGATGGCCTATAAACCTGGTATTGATATAAGAAACTTGATAAACCTTGAAGATGTTATGGCTCAAAATAAACTAGGGCCTAATGGGGCCTTGTTATATTGCATGGAGTACTTGGAAAGAAATATTGATTGGTTGTTAGGACAAATTAATTGTACTAATTCTTCTTATTATATATTTGATTTACCAGGTCAAGTTGAATTGTATTGCCACCACAATAGCTTAAGTCATATCATTTCAAAGCTTGCCAGTGATGCAAATCTTCAACTATGTGTTTTACATTTAATTGATTCACATCATTGTTCAGATGCTGGGAAGTTCATTGCAGCCTTAATGTTGTCTCTAAATGCAATGCTAAAAATTGGAATGCCTCATATAAATCTTCTTACAAAAGCTGATTTATTGAAAAAACATAAAAATAAACTTAATTTTGGCCTTGATTTTTATACTGAAGTTCTAGATTTAAATTATTTGCTTGAGTGTTTAGACAAAGACAGTGTTATCAATAAGTTTAAAAAATTAAATAGTGCTTTTGTTTCAATTATTGAAGATTATAGTTTAGTTACCTTCCAGCTAGTGAATATGATGCAAGAACAAAGTTTGCTTAATGTAAAAAATCTGGTAGACAAAGCAAATGGATATGTATTTAAATCTGATGAAGGTCGACATATAAACAGTATGCTAGCATGTGCTATGGGTGTCAGTGATACTAATAATGCTGATATTTTGTAATAAATATATATGTAATTATATGTGTTGGTTTTAATTTTAGTAATCTTAGTTTGATTCCTAGCTTTATTTATTTACTATTCAGTGGATGTTTGATTACTTTTTGCTGTGAAAGAAAACCTGACCTACCTGTACTCAATTGAAAAGTATTTTTTTCAGACCACATACAATGACAGACCCCTGTCTTACCTAGTATTCCCGACACGCCCTTAGATGTCGACCAAAGGCGATAGGGCAATAAATCCTCCCACAAAACGAAGCTTACCCTTTCCCTGCACTCCACTAAACGATTTCGATTTTAAACAAAAATTGAATAATGCGGACTCTAGTGCAGGGGGCTAGGTGCCCACAGAGATGTTATTTATTTATAATATACCTATATGTTGTAATTACAGCCACACAGGCAGCACCAGAAGTGTCACACTGGAATGCTATACGTGACACTGTCTCAGATCTTTTGGTAACATACTCATCAGTATGTTACCAAAGGATCTGAGTGGCTGGCTACTACAAATATAAACACAATAATCGGGGTAAATTATGCTATTAAACAAAGTCGACAATAAAAACATTGATAGGGATAATCTTCAAAGGGCAACAATGTTGTGATTGTGATATTTGCAAAGAGTATTACACTATAGTTAAAAATATATATATATATATATTATATTTTTTTATTATTTATTGCAAAGATATATTTCATTGTGAGCAGAGAAGTTTCGTGAACTCTCACCCACCCCCTGCTAGGTATCTAATAAAAGTAATTTTAAATAAAACTAGTTTTAACGGGTTAATGCACGAAACTATTTATTAATTGATTAACCCGTTAAAACTAGTTTAATAATGAGTTACGTGCGTGAAAACCTAAGAAACAAAAAAAGGGATTATTTTACTAACGTACCACAACGAGAAAAGGTAATTTTACTAAAAAATCACGAACAAGAAAATAGTTATATCTATTCTATTGTCACGTGACCGAAAACACCTGGGATTGGCGGGGCTTACTTTACACTTGTGAAAACTTCCGGCCAAAGTGACATTAACATTTTCGTTCCGTTCCGTGTGTATCCGTGTGACGTCACATATATCCTGAAAGCAGTATTTTTATTTTGTTTTTTTACTGAAATCTAGTTCAGTAATTCACACAACAGGGTGATAAATAACCACTTTTTATAGAGTCCATAGTCACTGATAAATAAAGTAGATCGTTGTGGGTACGCGCTTTATGCGATTTGTTCTGTTGAGGTTGTGAAGTTTGACATGTTTTTATTAGGACGAAATACTTGGTCGCTTACAAGTTGGCGCCCATTCGTGTTCCATAAATAATATATTTCCCGTAAACAGAGGTTGGCACTAAGACCGATTGCCTTTCAGTCCACCAGCATCCCATCGGCACAGTGCACATATTAGGATAGGGTACTTTTTTATATCAAGGTTTTGTTCCTATGGGCATTATTAGTGCCTGAACTTAATGGATGTTAAAATAATAAAGTTGTTACCGAAAATAATTACGTGTTTATTCCTTGTTCACAAAATGTTCTTAAAATACTATAATAATGTATGTTAATGAGTGCGTTCGCCTATACGTCGAAATCTACACTAATTTATATTTGCACCCCGGTTAATGACCTAAATTACGCCAGGCGCCATGACGGTGTTGATTATTGCAAATAAGCAAAATATAAATGTTCGGTTATGCACCGAACATATTCCCGGGGCGGGAAAATTGAGAAAACTTAATACAAAAGATAAAGGGTTAGTTATGCTGATGAAACTAATTGATAAAACAAAAATATTTTCTTATATCTAATGTAAGAACAATGATAAATTGAAAAAAAAAAAACTGTTCTTATTAATATTTCATGGCATTCTAATAGTTTTTCGAGTCAATCTTCACTAAACACTAATTTATTCGGCACGTAGCCTGGCTTTAACACTTTTGGCTCACTATTGTATTTACGCACTCGCGCACTTTCACCCGTCTCACAAATATCACTCACTTGACACATGCTGACGGAGCGGGCGGCGGGCTGGATAGCAGTCTCCGACTCCGTGGCCGCCGCCGGCGCCTCCGGAGTACCCGTTGATGATGAAGTCACCGCTGTTACCTCGTTCTTGTTATTTCGCACTCGCCGGCATATTACCACGATACCAATCAATACAATTACTCCTATTATTGAATAAATAAGGGTATAATGATGAATATCATTATATGACATATTCAATTCAATTCTTTATTGTCTCCATGGTTTAAAAGGTCTTAAAATATAAATACATTAGGTACAAACATGGAACCCCGTTGGGGCACTACAATATAATACAATAATTTACTTTAAAATTAATTAAAATTAAATAATATTATTAACATGTCAACGTGGCTTAATTACAATTGGGTACTAATTGAAATAAATATCATTCAATTTATTAATAGGCGCTCATTAAAATAAAATGTCAATAAAGTATTTTACAATGTCAATATAATAATAATGTCATTTTGTTACTTTAAAAACTCTTCCAAACTATAAAATGCTTTACCTATTAAATAATCTTTTAAAGCTCTTAGAAATGATTTATCATCAACCTCCGACCTCAAGTGTTGTGGAATTTTATTATATATTTTAATGCACATGACAAATGTACTACTGCTAAACATTTCTAATCTACTGGCTGGTAAGTGGAGGTTATCTTTAAAACGTATGTTTAGTGTATTTCCCCGCATTTGTTCGTTAGTCTTAAAATAGCTTGGGTTTTGTTTTACAAATTTACAAAGTTCGAATATATATAAACTTGTTAAGGTTAGAATTTTAAGCTCTTTAAAGTGTGGTCTGCAGCTTTCAGTTTGTTCAATGTTGACTAGTATTCTTATGCATTTCTTTTGTATCACGAACAAACCTTGGACAGCTGTGCTATTCCCCCATAATATCACACCGTAATGTAGCCAAGAATACGCATAGGCGTAGGTAATATGCTGCAAGAGCGGTTTGTAAGTCTGTGCTACGTTTTATTTCAGACAAGGCGTATATAAAGCGTGACAATTTATTTTTTATTTTTTCAATGTGGGCCTTCCATGTAATGTTGGTATCTATTTCTAAGCCGAGCAGTGTGAAATTATGGACACATTCAATAATTGTTTGGCCCACGGAGAATTTAATTTCTATTGGATTCTTTTGTCTTGGTCTGAATTGCATTAACTTGGTTTTTTTTTAAATTTATTTCCATATTATGATGTTTTCGAATATTTGGGAGAGCTTAGTATTCAATGAGGAAAGTGGAGCGCATGGAAATAATACAGACACATCATCAGCAAAGGCTACACAATAATTCTGTATCACTTTTGGCAAATCGTTCACAATCACCAGGAAAAGAACACAGCCCAGTACGGTACAGCCTTGTGGTATGGAGTTTGGCATTTCACATTTCTCTGATCTGCAGTTTGTAATACCTCCCGTTATTGGATCATACTTGTCAACCTCCACACACTGTTGCCGACCACTCAAGTACGATGCAAATCAATTGTGGGCGATTCCTCTCACACCAATGCCATAAAGTTTCGAAAGTAGGATTTTGAATGATACTCGTTCGTATGCTTTGCTTAGATCGAGCAAAATACCGATTGCATATTGTTTAGTAATTATAATTTCAAGTGCTTTCTGTATATAATGATACACAGCCATGGTAGTTGATCTTTTCTTCCTAAATCCAAACTGACTCTCATCGAATATTTTAAACTTCTCACAGAAACTGTTCAACCTTCGACACATAGCAGTTTCTATTATTTTAGATGAGGTACATAACTGTGCAATAGGGCGATAATTATTGAAGTGAAACTTCTTTATCGGCGTTGGAAAAAAATTTACCGTCAATTTTTCGGACGTTACGCGTCACATTTTTCCGTTACGCGCCATCTTTTTTTATATTAATAGTTGATAGCTGAATGATCACACTGTCGCCGGCGAGAACTCTCTCTACTCGTTTGTAGCTGAGTGACAATAGTTATTAAAGATAAGACTCGCTCAGCCAAACTCGCATAGCGATACTCGCTCAGCCAAACTCGCATAGCGATACTCGCTCAGCGATACTCGCTCAGCGATATTCGCTCAGCGATACTCGCTCAGCGATTCTCGCATAGCGATACTCGCTCAGCCAAACTCGCATAGCGATACTCGCTCAGCGATTCTCGCTCAGCGATTCTCGCTCAGCGATTCTCGCTCAGCGATACTAGCTCAGCGATACTCGCTCAGCTATACTCGCTCGGTTAAGCTGGCTTGGCTGTCAAAAGCCGTGCGCGTGCATTTTAACTCAGGACTGCAACTTCGTTTCTAGTTTCTACTCGCTTATCGTTCATCGTCGGAGGTGGAACATGTGCCTTAGATTACTGAGCCGTGTAATCATAACAGTTTCATAGGCAGTAATTTGTATTCATGTCTATGATAATAAAATCCTTTTGTTTAAACTTTATCTAATTTAACTTTATTTAACCAATTTCTGGAAAGTTGCATGTAGATCATTTTTCGAAAAATAGGGCCATAAAGAAGTTTCACTTCTTACGTGTGTACACTAGTACACGCACACATTTTTTTTTATGTCGGTTTTGTCTCTTTTTTTGTGAATTGGCTTAACTACTGCAATTTTAAGTTTATCTGGAAAAGATCCTTCTTGAAATGATTGATTAATTAAGTGTGAATGGAAGTGTCAGTTCGTCAACGCACTCTCTAATTAGTATTGGAGGCAATTCATCAATACCAAAACTACGCTTATTTTTTAAGTTTCTTATTATAAGTCTTACTTCTGGACAATCAACGGGCCATAAAAATAACGAGCTGTCGGTCGGATTTAGGACAGGTCTGCCTTGTGTAAGATTTGCTCCAGTCACTTTACCTACTGATGAGAAAAAGTCATTAAAATTATTTGCTATTTTGAGTGCATCGTCACAGATAGTATTATTAATTTTAAGTTTGATATTTTGTAGATGTCTATTAGGCTGCTTGTTTGTTCTTTCCTTTATGATCGTCCACATTGTTTTCGTTTTATTTGTAGTTTTCTTCATTCGGCTTACATATTGTAGTTTTTTAGAAGTCATGACTACTTTTTTTAATATTTTTTCATAAATTTTATAGTGAGATTTAAGTATGGGGTTAGCAGTTTGTGATAAAAGTAATTTTAAATGACGCTTATGTCTACACGAACGTTTTATTCCACTGGTAAGCCAGCCTTTAAAGGATCTTGCTTTTATTTTTATTTGTTTCCTAGTATATCGCTTGTCTCTATTGAGAATTCAGTTACCTTCATAGTTCTGATCTTCTGTTCGATCTTTCTCGATAATTTATCATCAGTGTTTATGTTTTCTGAAGTATATTGCTCCAAACTAATATTGATTATATTTTATTATATATGTTATATTTTCGTCGCCCGCTTCGTAAACTATTTCCCAGTGTAGACTATCTACCAAGGACTAACGAGTTTGTAGAGACCTTAACGCGTCTTCAAACTCCCACTTTTCTGTAATAGGCTCAACATCAATGAGCCCTACAGTTCTTTGAAATGCTTTAAAGTTCGCTTCTTGTTTTCTTGGCATGTTGCTTATGTTACTGTTCGGAACCGGCGTAGTTCTCGACGAGGTTCGAATAGGATCAGGCGTGGATTTCTCTCTTATGCCTACTGGTGTTGAGCATGTTATGTCAACCTTAGGTTCTATGTTAAGAGTACTTGTACTTGGCTTCGAAGCAAAGCTTTCAATGTTTTATGCGTAAATTAGGCCAGGCGCCGTAACGGTGTTGATTATTGCAAATAAGCAAAATATAAATGTTCGGTTATGCACCGAACAGGCATTATAGAATGGCGAGTGCGTGACGTGAATGGGGCTGGCCAGTGCGCGCCGATAGTCTAGCTCGAAGACTTAAGCGAACGGTATTTCTAGGCTTTTTATTTATTTTCGAGAAACCAACAACGATACAAATAGATATAACATAATTGAACTTAGTAATAAGAATGGCCAATAACAGGTTTCTTCAAATTAAATTAGATACTAAAACTGTCGTTTAATGCCAGGTCGCGTGAGACCGTTGCGAACTCGTATTAATGTTTTAATTTGGAAATTATTTTTGTTTTGACAACTCTTAGTACTTGAGAAAATGTCTATACCACTAAAAAGTTTTTTATATAAGACAGGCATCCGAGTCAGAATTGCATTTGCTGCATTCGAAGTAACATGTGGTGGAGTAGCGAATAACGGGGTGATTCTAGTACGACGATTTGGGGTAAATGTTAGCTAAAAGTTCAGGGGTATCAATATTGCTTCTTACGATATCAAAGAGAAATCCTTTTTGTAGAGGATTATTCTCTAGCAAGAACAAAAGCTCACCGAGATCAACACCGACTCCTCCCCTCCACCCCTATTAAACAAACATTTATTAAACACACAATTACATAATTTTTACCCTACAAAAAATATAGGGGTGATGACATACTCTTAGGCCCGTATTACAGAATGAAAACTAAGTGTTAATCTTTACTTGAGTACAGTTAGAAAGGGATGTCGCTATGTGCTATTTATAGCGACATCCCTTTCTAACTATGCTCAAGAGTAGATCAATCACTGAGAATCTTTCTATAATACGGGTCTAAAAAATGCAGAGATATATTGAAATGTGGTATGATGACGTTTTGGTACATTCTTACTTAGAAGTGACATCGCCCCTTGATTGACAAAAAACAATAAGTGTCCATTAGTTTTTGATAATCTAACTGACAAATTAAATAGAATTTAATTTACCCTGTCATCAACTTGATTCATGTACCTAGCATACAGGACTCGAACCTGCGCCTTCTGCAATGAGTCCGCCCAGTTTCATTGCTGATGCTGAATGATTTTGTGGTTCTTGCCAAACGGTTGGTGTTTAATAACATAATCATGAGTTTATTATATTTTCTTAATGCTAGATTTATAAAGCTAACGAAATATTTACTAGAAAAAATTCCACGCGGTCCAGACGATCCGGCCCTTCTTCTTCCCCTATCGGTGCGGAAATTTGGCAGCAGCAAAGTACTAACTTTGCTTCACACTTTCACACTAGTGAAAGAACTCTCTGTCGTAATGCACATGAATAATCGGTTGCATTTTTTTACAGATGTCGAGTAAAAAAGGTATTTACGATAAACTTACACAAAAAGAAATGGAGATTGACAGAATTTTGGAAAGCGACAGTAAGTGCATTCAAGTACAACTTTTGCATCAATACAATGATGTCAAAGACGCCACTCAGGTTATTATAAACCAAATAGCAATTATAGAAGGAACCACGGTTAAGGACATACACAAGAAACTTGGATTGACTGATGGAAGATGAATAAAACTCATGTTTGAATTATGGAACGTTTTATTTGAAGACAAATACAACTCTTTACAATTTAAATTCATCCAATATTTTTTTTGTCCATAAACTAAAAGTAGTAATGAACTTTTTAATTTTACATTGCAGGTTTACGTACTTAAGTTATAAGTGTTTTCAAAAGGCCACGGTTCCACCTTTGCTACTTCAATTACGAAAAAATTTATGTATTACATGACAAGTATTTCTAATATATTTTGATTATATTTTGTTGAAATATTTAAATGACCTTTGTCAAGCAAACAAGTTAATAAAATGTAATAGGTATTATACTGTTCAATAATCTAAAACTAAGTGAAAATGGATTTAAAAGAAAAATAAAATCTAGCTCCTTTGTATCACCATTAACGTTATATTTAAAAAGTGACAAAGAATAAGCAGTATCAATATGGTGAGTAAAAACAGCATTTTATAAATCACCAAATACAGATAATACAAGACAGGGTTACCATATTTTGAGAAATCATTTGATTAATTGAAAAGTTACTATTCAAGTAACATTAATGTGCTCCCTCTAACATGTTTTATTGCTGTTACACATAATGCCTAAACAAATCATTATATTGAAGTTAAAATTCTAAACCCTACACATTGTGTTTATTTTATAAGCAAGCAATAATATATAAATGTTTAAATGTATAATATAAAGTGCTTATCGCACTAAGCGACAGCTAGCGAATACGTAGCAGTAGAGCATTCGTATGCAAGTTGAACGCTCGTTTAGAGAGGGCTCGATGCCCGCCAACATCCGTCACGCGGAGCGGCCATTATGTTACTAAGTCGATGCATTTATTACATTCATTGGCAAATGTCATTGGAACAGCGCTGTGGCTGCTGTGTACGTGTGCACTGCACTCATGTTCAGATCGTATTTTGATTCTTATAATCAATTATTATATGTTATTGTTGCAACATATTTGTCTATGTTCAGGCCAGGATATAAGCGTTCCAAAATTGTAAAGTCTTCATTTAGTTCCATTCTCGACTGGTCTGGACTGTTCAATTAGCAAGGTCGTGTTATTCAAATGGAATGTAACGTATTGTTATTAAATTGTAACAGTTGTAGCACCAATCGAGTTCTTCAGAGCAAGACTTTGTCTCGAAGTATATCTGTTAGTCATTCCAGCTAAATTTAAGTATAACAATATAACAAATTTACAAAAATACATATAAATTGAAGGATATTCGCAATATTGGAATTTTCAAAAATGCATATAAATATATCACTAACAAATCTACGATTTCCTATCGAAATAATACCCTATAGGATGTGAAAATATCAATATGCGAACATTCATTCAGTTTTTAAATGTCTATCGTTAGACTTAAATCTATGAGTTTCAGACTCGTTTCAGGCAGTCCTACAGATTTCAAAGCACCAACAATCTTTCAATAAATGCAAATTCTATTCTAATATTATCATCCCAAATATTATTATGCCACCAATTAATGAATGTACATTATGAAAATTTTAAAAACTTCCAAACATTGTTCAAACAGCTTGTTAATTAGCAAAAAACTGAGATGCATTCGAACTGGTATCATAATAATAAACAGGTACTAAATTTAAACACACATACGTTCCTCAGGGCCTAAAAATTATTAAGAATTCCCAAAAACAAGTCTGAACGCGATTTGGTTTAGTCTACAAAATCAGACCTTAAGACAGAAAGATTATACATTTTATGTAAGTTAGTGACTAAAATCATTATTACAATAACATTCTTTAGTAGATAATAATAATTCTTTAATAGAGGATTTTGTTAACATAAAATTAATCCGGATTTATTAGATTTACCAGTCATTAGATTAAATAGACCAAACCAAGCTTAAAAATAAAATAATGATTTGGTAAATTGTAAATATACTATGTGTAAATAAATAATGTTGACTCAGTACTTTCTATGCTCAAAACAGAACATATTATTTACTAAGTCATCTCACTTTTCAATTAAACGTGACTTAACAATCAACATTAATTATTAATATATATATCTCCTAATTATCACTTGTCAGATAACGGGTGCTTTTGGGTTCTTACCTTCCTAAGAGATATTAGCTACCTCAAGTAATAGAACCAACTTTCAACCACTGTCATATACTCAACCTTATTAATTTGCGTTGTTAACTGTACTTATGGTCAAAGCATATGACAAAATAGTGAAAGTGACGTCTTAACAGGGATTATTCGAGCATAAACGTGCTATTTTATGTCGATTGTCTTTAATATTATTATTAATTGAACACAAAATGTGTCAATTAAAGTAATATAAAATCAGTCTCAATATTGGGAAGTCTTTTAGATCTTCAGGCACGTATACGTTTACCGATGGATAGCGCATACAGACGACAATAACAAAATCTAATTATTAGATTAAGTTATGCTTCTGTTTACAAATGTATGTATATACAAATAGGTACGTGCGATAAAACTATATATTATAAACTTGTGTCTGTAGTTCCCAAGAAGTTGAATATAACCGCACTTTTAAATTTCAATGATAGCTAGTGAATAAAAGGCAGAGTAAATAATGAAGTCCTCTGTTTGGCGAGAACTGTTCTTCCAGAAAAAAGAAAGTATTTGCTATTATTTACTTTTTCTGAAAGTCTCTAGCATTGTGATGTAAAGCTTTCCCCTAAAACAAATGATGACAGTATGGAAAACTAAAAATTTTAATGAAAGAAAATATTTCATTACTACTGAAAACACAAATAAACTCGGATCATAAAAGAAGGAATGTTACCTTTAACAACAATACTTAGTTAGAAACAGGCGCATCACCTTGACCCAAATGCTCCTCCTCTGATTTGGAGTCTTGGTCCATCATCTAAAATACATGACTTTACTTAAGGATTATGTTTTACTGTAATGTGGTTGAAAGTTCAATAGAGAGCGGTTTGAACGAGGAAAGCTTGGCGTAAGTCCTGTGGTTTGATTGTCGTCATTGATTGTTAGTGTCAATAATTTATTCTATGGTCACCTTGTTCTTATCATGTGGCCCATTAGCTTCCAGAGTTTGGGCAACTTCAGTCTTCTGGTTGGAACTCTTTTTCTTCCCTTTCCCAATATTTTTTTTCATATTCTTAGCAGTCTTAGTCTTCTGTGGCTGAGTTCCTGTCAGTAAAATACTATGTTAATCTTTAAGAATAATGCATACACTAATGAAATAAGAAAGATAACAGGGAAAATGCAAGAATAAAATTTATGACCGTTTTTTGTTGTAAAATGAGAAAAATGTATAAAAGAAAGACAGCCAATGGCCTGCGTAGATAAGGGACTTTTGTCCGCCAAAATAGATTAGTCCCCAAGACAACTGAGGGTGCCGAGAGACCAGACCGGACTAGGCACAGCAACGCACACAGCGAAATTCAGTCTGTATTGCGGGCTCGATACGATATATAAAAGTATGGACCCAGTATTCTCTTTTAAAACGGTTTTTCATAAAAAATAAAACAAGTTTCTTTTTCTTAAACTAACGTGTTTCACTTAATTTCCGAGCAACAAATCGAGCCCTTACCGCCAAATTATCGTAAGCGACACTCGCCAAATTATCGTAAGCGACACTTTTGTCGAAATGCGTTTTTTGTGGAAACTAATATTTTAAACCGTAACGGACCCATCTCTGTTGATATTTCCCTCTATTCTTCCCTCTATTATATTATAACGGTGTTCTTTTGGAGGGAAATATCGAGTGGACGCTGCTTTATCGCCAATGAACGCCTGGTTAATGAATGAACGTATTAAAAATCCTAGCTAGATACAACATTGCGAACAAAATCGTGGCAGATAACTGTCCGAAAGGTACATTGGACGATCCACCGAGCGCCAAAAACAATATGTTAAAGCATTATTTAAATATTTAAAGTCATCATTAATACTTAATATTTAAATAATATACCTTATTCACACGCATACGTCAGAGTTACGAAAGTTCCGACATACAAGCTCGTAAATTTTTACGACATATCGCTATAGGCGGTTTCTACACTTTATTTCTATGACTTTGTATCGTAATTCTAAATGCACTGCTAGAAACATAGCAGGCACGGAGCGTGAGAGTAAGAAACGACTACATAACCGACTATGCATTTGATTATTACAAAGATTTAATATTAAATCAGTTTATAGTACATATGTGTTATGACTATAAATAAAGTTTCATGAAGTGCGTTAAGTTAACAAACATTGATTTGACACCTATCGAATAAACGACAATCCACGTATTTACTAGTAAGTATTTTTTTTTTTACATTGCTCTGCGGCATATTGACGTTTCAACAGTCCGCGCGATACTGTGAACGAAGATGTGCCTGAGTCGTGTTTAAGCATTTCTTGATTAGGACACATTTTGAGCACTGGTGGTGTATCTAGGGGTTTTTAATATCGTTGCGACTATCGGTTGTTATCGTTTTCGTCCAGCCGATAACAACCGCTTTTTTCGCTAATCACACAAAAACAGCGTATGTTTACGGTTGAAAATATTTCATGTTGTTTTATTAAATCCGTTTTAATTTCTATGTGATTATTTTTGTTTATCTACATACTACCTACCTGCTTACTTCATACGTGCGTTGTTGCACTAAGTCAGTGGTTCTCAAACTTTTTAAATGACGGAACCCTTTTGGGAAGCAAAATACTTGATGGAACCCTACAATAAAACAATTATTTTTATAAGTGTATTCTATATTAATCAGCATAATAAAAGTACAATGTATCCGTTACTAATTATTATTTACTTCACCACTTGGTAAGGACAATAATAGAAAACATTAAAAAAGAAAAAATGTAACTAGTGGGAGGTATGAAACTGTTTTTTATTTTTCATCAATTGCTTGATATCAGGTTTGATGGAAGAAAGTTGGAGTCTCATATCAGCTTCGGCGTCCAGTCTATTGCGATATTTTGTTTTCGTGGCTGCGTAGGTAGAGAATCCTGTTTCGCACAAATATGTGTAGTTGGGAACGGGAGAAGAATATCCAGAGCCATTTGGCCAAGCATTGCATATTCATCTTGGATTCTGCACCAAAAATCATTAAGAGGCGTCGTTTTGAACAATGACTCCATACTTGTGTCTGATGACATTTCTAAAAGAGATTCATATATCTCATTTGACATGTTTTCAGGCTTTTCCAAGTTGGGTAAAAAAGGATTATGAATCCAGGAGTTCACTTTAATTTTTGTATTGTGTTCTTCGGGAAAATACTTTTCAAAAGATGCGCGCATCGAACTGAGATATTGGACCAATTCTTCAAACACATTATCTTCAAACATTTCTGAGTCGTTTTCGCTAACAAACTCAGTGAGTAACGTAAAACTTTCTATTTCTTTCTTACCAATGCAAATGATCCAAAAATCTAATTTTCTTTTAAAAGTAGTTATTTTATTATAGGCCTGAAACACTGTTGTCTGTTTACCTTGCAATGATAAATTTAATTCGTTAAGTTTTTGAAAGATATCCGCCATAAAAGACAATCGGAACAACCAAGTTTTATCATACAAACGGTCCTTCAAATTAAAAGAAGTATCTGCTGAAAGAAACATTTGTAACTCGGCTCTAAGTTCAAATAGCCTTGTTAAAGTTTTTCCCCGAGACAGCCATCGCACTTCTGTATGGAGCAGCAGTGTTTTATGTTTGCTGCCATAATCTTCACACAATAATGAGAACAATCGGGATTGTAGTGGTCGTGATTTGATAAAATTAATTATTTTTACCGCTTCATCCATAACTAATTTTAGATTAGACGGCATTTGCTTCATCGCAAGTGCTTGTCTATGCAGAATACAATGACTGGAACTACAATTAGGCGCTTTATTTTTCATTCGTGACACTGCTCCTGCTGTTTTACCTGTCATCGCCTTGGCCCCATCTGTACAAATGTCAATGCAATTGTTCCAACTGAGATTATGTTCTTCAAAAAATATATTTATTTTATTAAAAATTTCTTCCCCGGTAGTGTTTGTAAGCAGCGATGAACACATAAGCATGTCTTCTTCAAAAGAACTTTTATATGGATATCTCACAATAACCAGCAGGATAGCCAAACCAGCGACATCAGTCGACTCGTCCATTTGCAAAGCGAATCGTGTATTTTGTAGACGTGTAACTAGTTCTTGTTTGACGTAGCTTGCCAGATCATGGATTCGTCGTGAAACAGTATCGTTTGATAGCGGAACAGTAGAAAGATGCTTTGCAGATTTTTCATCAAGCATACATTTTGTTATGTCTAATACACATGGTTTTATTAATTTCTCAGCGATAGTGTGCGCTTCACCTGCTTGTGCAATGCGATAGCTAACTAAGTATGATGCCTCCGTGGCCTTTTCGTTGGTAGTTTGTGTTACATGCATCATATTTTTTTGACTTTCTAATAACTGATCTTTTTTGCGAACAAAAAATTCTTTATTCTTGTCTTTAGTCTCGGGGTGTACGGTTTCTAAATGTCGACGCAATTTGGCAGGTGCCATGGAACTATTAGGAAGCAGTTTACTACAGAGCATGCAGAGAGGTGAGCCGTTGGAATCAACAAATCCGAAACTGATATAAGATTCATCATACTTCCTTTTTTTCGTCTTTGAAACCGTCGAGCTTGACGTCGTGGCACTCGTGGCATCATCTTCTGGATCGGTGATTGCTAAATTCTCCGCGCGCATTGCTTTTGAACATTCAGCGTCATTAGAAGATGTTGTTGGAACACGTTTAACACCTTTAAGCCAACGTTCCATTCTTCTTTATTTATAATGTTACAAGTCAGGATAGTGGGGTTTAAATAATGCACAATCGTTACTGCGTATAAGAGACTAAATTTAGAACCTACAGGGAAGAAATGTATAAAACTGAGACAACAGAATACAGCAGGCAGTAAAACAATGAACACCAGTTTCTCGCTAGCGAGCTTGTAAGTAGGTAGTAACTTATCGCTCCGAACGCTAATCATCAACTGACGACGCCAACGCGCGATCGCCGCTTTTATACTTAGTCCTAGACTCGATCTCAAATATTCTCGAAAATACTCGAGTCGGCACCTTTGATAAACAAAAAGCAAAAATAAAAACAGAAATTTAAAAATAGCGTTGTAAACAATATCGACTTTATCCTTTGAAGTTAGAGACGAAAGTCGCTAGTTGACAACTATAGCGTCTAATTCAGAGGCGGCTTTTATCAAAGAGACTGAGCGCTTACAAGTATACTACCCGCTCGTTTTAAGTTTGCCGCTGGCGATAGGTATGAGTGTATGACGTTCGAAATTTTTTATTTAATTGTAACAATAAAAATTGTGTACGTTAGATATTTGGGTAAAACTATGACACATTATAAGTTTTGTTGTCACGTGGGGGAGGGTACGCGCATTCCACAGACCGGCAAACTTAGAGCGAACGCGTTGTACAAGTATAAAATTGTTGAGACCAAACTTATGAGATATTGTACCAGCTAATGTAACACAAGCTTATACAAATACAAATAAATAAATAAATAACATTCATAGCGTTTTGTCTCCGCGCGGCCGCGGAGTCCGCACAGCCGCGGAGCGACCAGAGAGAGGTGTTTTGATTTTTTTATTTCTAAATTCTTGCGGAACCCCGACAGAGGTATCACGGAACCCTAGGGTTCCGCGGAACACACTTAGAGTATAGCTGCACTAAGTGTCTCACAGGCAGACGCGGCTTACGCGTAAGCGAGTGTTGAAACAAGGAACTTTATAACTTATATTACCTTTTGGTTTTCAGTTGGATAAGCAGGCGGATGTCAACCGTCGTCTAAACGTTATTATTGGCTACTTTTTACGTTAATTAGTATCCGATAACAACCCCTGTTTTACAACTACAGTTGCGGCACAGTCCACAACGCGCTATTCACTCGGGGCTCGTGCGTAAGTGTGGGAACAATGCAACACAAATACGTTATTTCAGATCGATTTTGCTAAGTAAAAATCGTCAGTTGTGCCCAACCCAACAGTAAAGCTTTTTGACAGTTCTTGTTACATAAAAACACAATTGCAAATGATAAAAAAAGTGAAAATACAAATTATATCCTCTTGATGTCCACGCAAAATAGGCACTGGGTGTCGAGTTGCGGAAACAGCCCGTCGTACTACTAAGACTAAGATCCTCTTGATGTATTATTTTACGGAGCCTAATAGTGTTTTACTAGCAACCCAGTGAATCAAATGTTCACCAAAACCTGATTAAAAAAAAATGTATTTAATTAATTGAGAACTTCGGAGATTTTGTGTGGTTTCGTTTGAAATTCGTGATTTCTCGAAAACCGGAAGTGCTACGTTACTCAAATCCGGTTTGTAGTCTTATCAGACTATTCTTAACTTATAACTTAATATTCTCTTTATCTATCTCTTACGGTTTGACCGCTGAAACAGCTCCACAGACGGACGGACGGACTTGTCTAATAGATAAGAGACTTTTATTATTTTATATTCAGTCAGTATGACATATACTAGAAACGAGAGTTAAATTAATAATTATAAATTACCTTCAAGTTCATTATCAGGAGCAGTGTTATCTTCTTGCAGACCATCTTCAGCTTGCATTCCGAGGTCCTCAGGCCTCACCGTTTTCCTAAAAAAGTTTAAAGTCAATTTATTATTATTAAGCTGCACCAATGACGAAATTAATCGAAAATTTATAAATGTTTTTCGGTTATGTTAATACTCAGACACATCCATTGTATTTTGGGTCCACTTGCAGCAAAATTGCTAATCTGGATTCAACTAAAACTAGTTTTATTCCATAGAAAAATGTCAAAACATCAATGTCAATATAACATTATTGTATGGGCTAAATCTAGTTTTAGTTGAATGGAAATTTAGCAAATTTGCAGCTAGGGGGGCTAAGTTTGGCGATTTATATGTTGTCTCTTTCTTTGTAATAAGTTAGAAAAAGACAATACGTCACTATAACCAGGATTGTATCGACGTCTCTGTGTAAAAGAGGAAAATCTTTTGCAGTTATGTGGCATGTTAACCCAAGAAACAGATCGCGGTTATACTTGATCACAATGCAAAATTTTAACCACACCAGTTTTTTTTAGAGATGTTAGGGTAGGTCATGAGAAGCTTGAGTTTAAAAATCGGGGACTATAGGGTGGTCGCAACTAGCCACCATATTGGAAAACGCGTTTATCGCTATATCTCCGAAATTATGGACTTTACGGAAAAAATAGAAGAGTGCTTTATTGTTTACTAAATTCCCTAACATTTTTTTTAAACTTTTTGTTGTAACTCTTACCGTTTTTTAATTATTGTTGTTTATTTCTACATGTTTGTAGCTTCTCCTTAGATAACCTTAAAAAATCCATTAATTGATAATTCTTATAAAAGTTATTCGTCTATAATTCCCTACAATTTATGCGTAAAACTATTTTTTATTAAATAAATAATTCCATTCCCGCGTTTGCTTACTTTCTCCGGTAAAAAATAGAGTAGCCATGTCAGGGGATTTGATGAAAAATAGCTAACTTGCTCTTACTAGTTTCTTCTAGCATTGGGTAGGGCGCTGCTTAGTTTCCAAAGAAACTTTGACGTTGACGATACGAATGCGATCTGTCATAGTTTGTGTTTGGGAAATTGATATCCGCACCTAGAAGTACTAGTGTACTGAGTGACTACAGCTAACTACGAATGACATTAGTACAACTGTGCTACATTAATAAAACAGCTCGTCATTGTAGTCATGGCCTATTTATCCCTGTTTCATGTGTAGGGAAGGCCTGTGCCCCAGCGGTGGGGATGCTAATAGACCAGTATCACCCGTTGGGGCTCTGAGTGGCGGACTTGGCGGGCTCGTCGAAGTCACGGCGCAGGCGGTTACCCCCGCGAGGCGCGCTGGCGCCCTCTTCTACCTATAGGGAAAGCTTGCGCCCAGCAGTGGGAACCCTAATAGGCTAGTATCTCTCACCCATTGAAGCTCAGCGTGGCGGGCTTGGCGGGCTCGTCGAGGTCGCGGCGTGGGCGGCGACCCCGCGAGGCGCGCCGGCGCCGCGTCCGCGTCTTTATCTACCTATAGGGAAGGCCTGCGCCCCAGCAGTGGGGACGCTAATAGGCTAGTATCTCTCACCCATTGACGCTCAGCGTGGCGGCGGGCTTGGCGGGCTCGTTGAGGTCGCGGCGCGGGCGGAGACCCCGCGGGGCGCGCCGACGCCGCGTCTGCGTCTTTATCTACCTATGGGGAAGGCCTGCGCCCCAGCAGTGGGGTCGCTAATAGGCTAGTATCTCTCACCCATTGACGCTCAGCGTGGCGGGCTTGGCGGGCTCGTCGAGGTCGCGGCGTGGGCGGCGACCCCCGCGGGGCGCGCCAGCGCCGCGTCCGCGGCCAGTACCGCGCCCACGTCCGCCGCGAGTGCCGCGCCAACTGCGCCCGCCGTACGCGTTGCGCGGCGGCGGCGTGTACCCGACGTAGCTCACCTAAACACAACAGAAAGCCGAATAAAACACTACCACCAGCCATTAAATAACAAAAAAAAATGGGTGCGTGTACTTATGTAGGCGCGTGAGAAGTTATCCTTCTTTGGCATCGTTTAAAATTAGTTTTTAATTGCATGCAAATAATTAATTACAATAAATTAATAAAAAGTCTGGAAAAGGACACAGTCAATAAAGTTCAGTTTTAATTTGAAAAAATAAATAAATAATCAAAATATTCAATTAAAATCGCTACTGAATATAATTTATTAGAACATATGTGATTTGCACTTGTATGAAACTCATACAAACTAGAAACATGTGGATAAATATTATAAATTTGAATACCTATAACTGTTACTTTATTACAAAAAATAAAGATGTGGTTTTTGGTTCTACTACACCAATGGTCAAGAGATGGCGCTGTAATCTCCTGAATCGCGCTTTGGTTCCGTTGTTCCAGATTAATAAATACTTTTGATAGGCCTTCACAATGCAGTCGTTAGCACCCACTAAATAGAGATTCTATTTCTAATTTGTTGGTAGATTTTCTTATTGTGCGGTAAACACAAAAGTTTTAGCGACCAACTTCATGCTGTTAATTTTTTGTGTTACAGTGATGCGCGCGCATCCTAAAATTTCACTCTCATCATTTTTTCATAACGCGCCTAAAGAAGTATAACTTCAAAAATTTGAAGTGAAACTTCTTTTTGGACGGGATGTAAGTGGAATAGATGAAACGGAAATGAGTCACGAGCGTCACACGACTATATAAACAGGGTGACCGAACCAAAAAAAAAAATGAGGGTCCTCGTAACGTGGGGTATCGGAATGTATGTTCCGTGACTTTTTATAGTTTTCGAGTTATATTTTGGATTTTTTTTCTGAATTTTCGGGAATTTCCGACCTGACCAACTTACAAAAAAATCTAAAAAAGGATTAGACGACTTTTTCGTTTTTTTTTTGCAACTGAATCCTTATGAGTTGTACTTCTATGCATAAAATAATAACCTTTGTAACTATACTAAAGTTATGAAAATGTTAATCCAAAGTGAAAATTTTATAGCTCTTCCAAGCTAGCAAATTACTATCTCACAGCACCGCGTATACTTAAAAAGACTAAAGAGCGTTGCGTCCGCGCAGGGTAACTGCCACCACCCCACTGAACGTCGCCTACTGTACCCGCCAATAGCAGCATAACAAGCATCCTCCCGCCCCTAACTTGTCAAGACTAACAAACGACTCTATCCCAGTCCCGCGTATACGTTAAATATACGTATTATATAAGGAGCTGGCGAACAAAATGGTATAGGGGTGGGTAGGCGCAAAAATCGTAACATCTCTTCTGAGTAAAACATATTTTTATTTATTTTATTAAATACATTAATTAAATTTAGTTGTGTGTAAACTGTACCTTTTGACATAAATTACAACATATTGTGTTGGCAATATCATCACATGCCTGTAGAAAAATCTTGAGAGTGCCAACCCGTCAGGTCAACAGTTACTGCTACACTTCACTGCACTATTATACGTCGCTACTATTTCTGGAGTTTATTTTTTCTGCATCAAGGATGACTAGCATTGCAGCTGTCTTGGAGAACCAAAAGACCATTGAGGAAACACTCATGCAGCGTATGGCCAGCTTTGAAAAACATTTGAAGGCCTCAAATACATCTACTTCACCAGCTGTAGATCTCAAGGTTCTGAGCACGGAATTCTATGCATTTAAAGACATGGTTGGAGGAATATTGACACTATTTCGACAGCAAATTAATGCCTTGGCCCGCAGTATTGATGATATTGAGGCTAGACACCGTAGAAAGACACTTCTTGTGAATGGCGTGGAAGAGAGTGATGATGAGGATCTGCCCTCAACTATTGTTAATATCTGCCACAATCAATTGGGGCTGAATGATATCACCAAGCTTAGTTTTTCTGCTTGTCACAGACTCGGTACAAAATCACAAGAGCGGTCACGGTCTGTATTGGTACGCTTCACTGAACTGACTACTAAATCTGAAGTCTGGGCCCAGAAGACGAAGTTTAAAGGTTCATCCATAGTAGTGTCAGAGTTTCTAACTCGTCGCCGGCAGGAGTTGTTTGTCGCTGCGCGCAAGCACTTTGGTGTTCGAAGGGTCTGGTCAAATGATGGCATTATTCTTATCAAGCAGCCCACTGGCAAGCTGTGTCGTGTATACGACAGACAGGAATTGGATAAGTTGATCGCGATAAACACCACATCAGTATCACACACAAAGGCGGCCTTGGAAGCAAACTCTAAACCCACTGCAGATTCCCAATCGACCGCTAACTCGAGGCTGGTTACTACAGAGGCAGCGATCAAGGCGACTAACGTAAGATCCAAACGTGTCCTACGAAAGTGAGAACTTTGCGTGTTTATCTCTCATTGTTTTTAATTAACTGGAACTGAAGGTAATTTAATTATTTTGTTCAAAACTTAGAAGTCTGAGATTAACTTTCTGTCCTGTCATTCGTGTTTTTTGTTATTTTATTTTTATTTTTACCACTATGATGTCAAAGACACGTAGTTCATACAGCCATACTTTTTTTTTCTTTTTTCTTTTCTCGATTATTGTTAATAAAATTATATCCACAGAACAGGAACTGTTTGTGAGTCTGTTTTTCGTTTGTGTATTTAGAAGTTTTGTTTTTATGTTTTTTGCAGTGTTAATTTGTTTTTATTTTAATTAATATTGTAACAGTTGACCGGCGGGTTGAGCACATACTCTAGAGTTGTGATTGTTTTGTTATAGTTTTATCATATATATTTCATATTTGAGTTTTATCTTAGTATATTATTAATATATTTTACAATATTAGTATTTATATTTTATAGTAAATTATGTCAGATTATGAGGATGTTGCAGATTTTGAATCATGTGTGAGTTCTGACACATCGTTTCATTCTTTGGACGATGTGCAAGTGGCTGATCATACGTTGGGCAACAAACTTTCCAAAGTATTTGATACTTTTAGGAGGAACTTCAATGTTTGTCACATTAATGCACAGAGTATACCTAGTCACCATACCGAACTGCTTAGCAATTTCACCACTAACACTATTCATGCGGTTTTGGTTTCTGAAAGTTGGTTCAAGCCTTGCCATAGTTCTAAGACTTATGCTTTGCCAGGGTATGCTCTCGTGCGTCACGACAGACTATTGAAGAGGGGCGGTGGTGTTGCCATCTATCTCCGGACTGGCATCCCGTATAAAATTCTTTCTTGCTCCGATGAGCTTGCAAATGGCGTGGAGTATCTTTTTCTGGAGATCTTGGTGTGTGGTTCCAAAGCTGTTCTTGGAGTCGTATATTGCCCGCCTGCTGCCGATTATATTCCATCTCTTACTTCTGTCTTTGACACACTTGCAGCTGATTACGCACATCACATTATCATGGGGGATTTTAATACAAACCTTCTGCAGGACACTCTCGTTTCTCGTTCTCTTCGATCAACCATTGAGTCATACAATTTCTCTTTTCTGCCTCTTAATGCCACTCACCATAACATCGAAAGTAATGACTCATTGATTGACCACATTATTGTTTCCTCTACTGATTTTGTCTCTCTTCATGGCCAATTCTCGGCTCCTGGTTTCTCCCGGCATGACCTTATGTTCCTCTCTTATAAAATAAAGTCCCCCAAGCCTGTCCCTGAGTTAGTAAAAATGCGGAACTTTGCTCGCCTGGACCCTGAGTTGTTATCTCGGGATGCATCGACCATTGATTGGTCCAGTGTCTTATCTGCAGCAAAAACTGGAGAAAAGGTAAATGCTTTTAATGCTGTCTTATTATCATTTTTCAATAAACATGCACCAATTCGCACAGTGAGAGTTAAAAGACCTCCTGCACCTTGGATGACTCCACTGGTCCGCATTGCGATGAAGAGACGTGACAGAGCTTTTAGTAAATTCAGGAAGTATAGAACAGAAGAAAACTGGGTCTGTTTCAAGATCAAGAGGAACCGCTGTAATCAGATGGTAAGAGCTGCTAAACGCCGCTATTTCCATGATAATATTCTTCACTCATCTCCTGCAAATATTTGGAAATTTCTTCGGTCTCTTGGGTTGATTAAGTCAAGAAATGTTTCTCTTCCTCACTCTTTTTCTCTCAATGATATCAACCGACATTTCTCAGAAACTTCTTCTCATTCTTTAGGAAATATATCCAATGCTCTCGCAGACATTTCTTCTCTAATTGATCAACCTACAAATATTTTCCAATTTTCTCAAGTGACGGAGTCCGAGGTTCGTAAAACCATTATGTCCCTCAAATCTAAGGCCATTGGGTACGATGGTATAAGTAGGCACATGGTCCTTAATATATTAGATAGTATTCTCCCTATCATCACACACATAATTAATAAATCAATTTCCTCAGGTGAATTTCCAGACTCATGGCGCAAGGCTCATATTTTGCCACTTCCCAAAATAAGTAATCCCACAACTCCTAGTCATTTAAGACCAATTTCTATTTTGCCATTTTTGTCGAAAGTCTTGGAGGCTACTGTCCATAGTCAACTATCTGCTTTCATAGCTAAAAATCACGTGCTAAACCAATACCAGTCTGGTTTTCGACCGGGTCATAGCACCACAACTGCCTTACTAAAAGTCACTGAGGACGTTCGTGATGGCATGGAGATGTCACGGTTAACGGTTTTGGTTCTCATTGATTTCTCTAATGCCTTTAATGCCGTTGATCATGACATTCTCCTTGCTATACTATCCCACTTGCGAATCTCGTCTCCGGAACTAAGGTAGGTGGACCATGGAAGGCCACGCTCCTTTGAAGGCCAACTATTAAAAAGTCGTAGTTATCGACATGTAAAGACACATCCCTTTTACTAAATACTAAGCTCCATCAAACTCAAGGCCACAAACGCGGCGGCTTGACGACCGCGCCATTATTGTGGCAGTGCGAGCTCACGTTTCGTAGACTTCGGTCGTCGACGTTGCAGTTGTTATTCGCGCGCTTAGCAAAACG